GCCTACAAGAGGCCCATCCCCAGGCCATACACAAACACTGTTTCCTGTCCTTCAACCCAGAGACTCACCACCAGCATTTTCATTAGGACAAAAGGCTTTACCTGAAAGTAATTGCAGATGTACCAGTTGTCATGATTATAGTTACTGTGTTTCACAAGATATGAAATATCTTGTGCTTCTTAATCTCATCCAAAGGTTGGAATATTGCTGTTTTTAAAAGATGTATATCATATTCTATAGGATAACCCACTCCTCCTGGCCCAACACATCTATACCGAAGTAAAGATTCCGCTGTTGAAAGTAAGTTGACATTAGGTAAACTAGTTAACACTGGTTGTTCTCTTACTTTCTAACTCACCACAATTTTGGAGTGCAGGCAGTACAGTCAGTATTGTTCTTACAGTGTTAAACTTAAGTCTTAGTGTTAAATTGACACCAGTTACATGACTGTGACTTTATCTCTCCCCTGATTACAAGCCCGTATGGGTGGCACACAGGAACAAAAATGGGTGGCCCATATCTGCCCCATCTTAAAGTGTACTCAAGGACTCATACAGTATGAGGACCATAAGAACCACCCCAGATTTACCCACCATCATGGGAAAGACTGACCAATATGGACCTAACGGCCTTTTGTGTTTTTTATATATTAAAACTTTACCTCTATCAGTTCAACACTGATTGTTCTTTAAGATTAGGTAACTGTTCCTGTGAGCTGAACAGAACCTTGCTTTAGAGTCTCTGCTCTAAAGCAACCTCAGATAAGGAGTTTAGAAGGAAAATAGTGAGTTTGATAGTTATAGTGTTCAGTATGGTCCATCCTTCATTAATACCAAGAATTTGTAAGTAAAAAGCATACAATGTTAGACAGATATAAGCTAGAACATAATACAACACCTAACAACAAGGTGACTGATGAATTTTCAACAAGCAAAATAGACTCAAAGTAAATTTAAACTATATTTATAAATGCAAAAACATGCAATGAACAAAGGAGAGTTCACAAGGAAACATAACTAACGTTAGACAGAACCAAACTGTCAGGATTCGAGGTCGGGCGAGCCGTCAATACGGACAAACGGGGTTTTATTAGGAGCGGGAAGGCGGACAGGAACACACATCCAAACAATACAATGACGGAACTGGGGACTACTGACTTAGACACGGACTAAATACACAAGACAAGCTAGACTTAATAGGACACAGGCGAGCACAATCAGGATTGAACACGAGGTAATGAGGGGGGCGTGGCACACATCGGGATCGTACGGAGCAGGGTGTGACACAAACTGTTTTTGATTACATTTTTGATTTGTTTGCAGATCATATACCTCAGTACTCTTGGGGGTAATGGGTTAAAAGCCCACATAAGAAACATGATGAAGAAGGTGGCCAGCAACAAAGTGTGGTCCAAGTATTCATTTAAAGGACAACGGGGAAAACTACCACTACAGGATCTGGAAATAATCAGCCTCTTCATCAGTAAGATATACATTGACACCATTTTAAAATGTAAACATCTGTCAATTTGACTCAATACAATTTAAAATTGCTTTTAAAACACATCTCTTTAGGCTGGCATACCCACTATAGTAATACAGTAATACTTATAGTAATACTATAAGTATTACTGTTATATTCTAATTTGTCTTGTCATTTGATTTTACTGCTTTCGGTACTTTTCATTCATTTTGTTGTTGTATTCTTTGTGAAGCAACCTTGAGTGTTAAAAATGAAATACGTAAAAGTTGTATACTTTAAACATGTAAAACCCTTATTATATGTTGGCGGGCAGAGGTGGACACACAACCAACAAATACAATTTTGGGGTCTTTTGTCTGATAGAATCCACAAAGGGATTTTTACATTTTATTTACATAAAAGAAAATTAACACAAAATATCCATAGCTAGTGCTCTCTGTTATACCCAAAATTGTGGAGGTATAAGGCTAACGGAAACATAAATTTTTCATCCAAATAAAATCAAATGTATGACCGTACAGACTACAGGTCAAAAAAATACATACCCGGTCCAGTATTCACATTAACCAGAAATGGTAACCAAACCCATAAACCCAACAAAAACAGTAGTGGTGATACTGAAAGAATAGAAAACCAAAAAAACACATTACATCACCACCATACACTTATGCATACATCCATACAATTTGTATACATTCTCAATTAAAACTTTTCCTCCACTTACCCACAAATCACATCTGTTACGGCTCTGGCACGAGTCCTCTGCACCAGGCCTGTACTCGTGGCTAAAAGGACCATCAGGGCACACATGCACTTATTTATGAAATATGATTTCCCAGGTACATTTTACCGACCATAACACTTCACGCATTTCACAACCTAAGCAAATACTCATTATACTGCATTTACCTAGATAAATAGGTATTCCTAATGCACAAATTTCCACACGTGTTATCCACATGTCACTTCGGTATTTCTAACTTGCCACCATTTCAGTCAAACTAGCTCATATAAATAATTCTTCCTGGATGAGACTTTATTTAGATTACTATTTCACTGTTTTTATTAAAAAGTGCATAAACTCACCCGAAGATTAAATCCGATTCCCGTTCACACCTGCGTCAGGTCTCCCGCAGTCTCACCATTAGCCTCAATATGCCCAGAATGCAGTACGGTTTGCAACTACAGTACCGATCACCCAACAGTATCGCGGTAGTTCGCGGGCTCTTAAAGGAAACATCACCCGCTAATGCTACCGCTTAACCATGCAGCATTACAACTATGACCCGGTAACATATAATAAGAGAGGCAATTTAGTGTTTAAAAGCTTGTGTTCTACTTCAGGAGCCCACCAGAGGTACAATCCGAAGGTCACGGCCTCTGCAATTGAAGATGCTATTGCAGACTTATTACGGCGCACACCACACAGAGAAGGTGGAGATAAACACAAGGTAAACATTTAAATGACATTTCATATTCAGTGCACTTATCATTGCATGTCAACCTATTACTATTACTTTTTCAGTGAATTTTCTATTTGCATACAAATTGTATAATTGTATAAATTTGTAGACTTGTAAAGATAGTTG